TATCTATTGCGGGGGAGGTGAAGCATAGTAACGGGTACAAAAATATTGTAGTTGTAGACTTTCTCTGAGAGGACATATGAATTCAGGGTAAGGGGAACCCCCCCTCTTCAGCTTGGATACTCTGGTTACCAGACTCGATTACCCGACTATCTATCCCTATTTAACTTATAAGCCTGGGTAAAGCAGTGACCCCGTTCCTGACTGTTGGCAACCATTGATGCAGACAGGGAAAGTAAGGGAGTATTCTTTACTTCGAGTGAGATCAGTCTAGTGTGCTGACACCCATAGAGGGAGTGGGGTGCCTGACCGATAATTGCTGATGGGTTAGAAGCCCAGATCTGTAGCTAAAGACCGGCTCCCAGCTTAATAGAACTATTGAATGTCCTGATTCGGTGAACCAACGATGGCCAGTTCATTGAAACTGGAGCATTTGGAATTTTTACCTTCACTGAGGGGGCCTGTTTGATGGCCTAGATTTGGTAAGGTGATTGTGAGCAATTTGTTGGGTGCAGGTTTGCTTCAAGAAACCCGTTCCTACTCAGCGAAGACTATATCTTTTTGCTCCTACAAGATAGTCTGGTTGGCAACCCTACAAGACTATTGCTTTCTCTCTACAAGAGGATGTGTAACAAGAGTAATTGCTTACTTACTAAGTCTGGTTCAGGAACCCGACCGAACGCTAGACTATATATGAAGCACATCTGTCCCCTACCAGGTTACTTTTGCCAATATGCTCCACTATTGCTTTGATCACCACGCAGTCAGACAAGATTAGTATCCGAGTTCAGCTATCCGGTTATCGCAGCCCACCCGTCCTCACGAGCGCTTATGGTCAAAGATCTGGGAAGAGGCATGCTCGTTTAATCAAAGCCAGCTAGTCAGAAGCTCGCATAGTCCGGCTGAGTCTCGCATTGCCAGCTCTTAGAAAGACGCGGCAGTGAAACTTAACATAGCCTAAAAACAGGAAGTATTTCCAGAGTGGTATCGGTGGAATAATGTTGGGGGGGGGGGGCAATGCAGGTCAGGTGGATTATTTCGTTATCTTGTGTCATCAGCGAATATATTCTTCTCTCTCCAGCTACGGATAGCTTGAACCCCGACTCTTAGATGGTAAAAACACATCATTGATTGCCCCCAGCTTGCGAACAAGCTTTAGTCAATCATGCCAACGACCGACTCGACCGATGTATTCAGCTTCAAAGTTCCAAAACCTCTTAACCCCCCAAAGATGAGAACAATTACCCAAGGTGGGTCGTCGCGATAACCTGACTACTCTGTCTGGCAAGCCTCCTCGATGTTGTTGCGGGCACAAAAATGGACAAACCCACCGTCACAACGGGATAGATGACTGGCAAAAACAAACCGATAAGGCATTGCTCATCATTCTTCACAAATCGGAGGAAGACGCTCATGCCCTATTGAAGGTCGTGAAACAGCAGCAGAGGCCTGGACCACAGTGAAGGATTACTACCAGGGGCGAGCGGACACATCTGACAGCGCTACTACTAGCTATCACCAGCCTACGATTTGATGACCGAAATGGTACAATTACCGCACATATTGCCTCATTTGAAGGGAAATAGAATCAACTCAAGCAGAGCGTGGCCACTGAACCTGGCACTACCTCACTCGCAGCCGGCAATGAGTTTCATAAACAGTGACGACTGCAAAGCGACCACGCTTCTGTCAATGCTACTCAAGATCCAAACCTACCAAAACATCGTAGACAACATCATCCGATCGACAGAAGAACCATCATATGCTATGTAAATAGTTTAAGCGCACTTAGAAAAGAGTTACAGTGAAGTGTGCTTGGTCACAGGTGTGGAATAAATGGGGAGTTTGGGAGTTCAGGGTAATTTGAAATGATTGCATCTGAATTAGGGTTTGGAATATTGGTTGTACATAATCTTCCGTGAGATGGAAAGTCAAATAAGCTGTTAGTTTTGATCTCGTGTTGGTTAGCTTAATCAAATGTATTCTCCAGGGGCTACAGTCCTAAATTAATACTCGCGGCCATTTACTCCCTATCGCTCTCTCTCCCAAACATTGGCAGCAGCAAAAGACTAGGAACAAGTATAGTCAGAGGCTAAGGTATAGCGAGAAATGAACAGATATAAAATAGTAGAGTAACTTGGTATATTGAGTGTACAAGGGAGCGTGAGAGTTCAGGGTAACTATGGAGGTAAGTGTGTTTCTTTTTCACAGCAGGACCCCCCTGCCAAACAAAGAGCCTCACGCCAAGTTCTGACTCAATTAAGGATCAGATAAACCCCATGATACGGGACTTACAGTTGCAGTCGCGGTGCTTAGGCAGGGAACTATTCTTTGCCGTCACGCAGCACTCAACCAGACCAGCCACGCTCTAGATCTAATTTCCAGATTTGTCTTTTGGGAATTCATGGTTTCATTTTTAAGTATAGCTGCAGCCGCGGTGTGGACTGCGAATTACCAATGAAGTATGAAGCCAATGGAGTGCTAAGTTGCAGGCATAAAGGGGTAGGGAGTTGAGGCTCAGTATAACTTTACCTGCACGGTCGAGTATATCAGGTAGGGTAAAGTTGAATAATAATTTACGCGGTGCCCCCCCTACCTGAGTACCTAACCTTTAACGTTATTAGTACGGGAATGACTGTGAATAAATTCACTTGATCAAGGTTCTCATGAACTGGCTTTTCCCTTATTTCTAGCTGGAAAGCTTTTCTTCGTCTTTTTTGGAGATGCACTCATTGGAATTTCATGGCCAAGGGAGGAGTAGGAGGGTTACCATAAGCCTTTCAGGGGACTCACATGTTTGGTGAGTTGACTCGGAGGCAATGGGCAGATACGTGAGGCATGAGCTAGGCTCATCATATGTTTAGGGCGTACCGAAAGTCTACCTCAAAGGACGGGAGGTTGAGGCTGCCATGACTACCTGGTTCAGTAGGCTCGGTGAGATGCTAGGTGCCAACCAGACTATGGCACATAACTTGTACTATGGCCAGTCATTTTGCTCCTGTGTTATATCCCGGAAGATAGGAATAATTATGCGCCTTCCTCCAGGCTTGACAGTTCCTTTGTGACCACCACATCTCCACATGTACTTACGCATAGCCCTGGCCTGGCTAGGCACAAGTTAAGGTACTTCTGTAACCCCAGCCCGGCCATCCCATTCTCACAAGGATTGATATGGTCAAAGGGCAGGGAGGCGTGCTCGGTAACCTACAGTTGACTCTGGCTATTACTACAAATTAGCGTTCAGATTCGGTTTCTTGCGCATTGCCTGACAGACACGAGAGTAAAACTTACACAAACTAAATTCAAGAGGCAATAGTTTTTATTATGGTAATATCAGGGTACCTAAAATTCTGGTGCAATGTTAATAACTTGGAGAACTTTGATTTTAGTCATAAGCGTAGTCAGAAGCTAGTGTGGTTGCAGAAACGCGGCGCAGGGGTGATTGGAAGCGTTCAGGGTAACTGAAACTTTAGCATTGAATAGGGTAAGTGCTCGTTAGGGCTGAGTTATTTCCCCCATCCTCCCTCCGCGGCCAAGAGCAGAGCGCCAAGCGATGGCGGATTGTAGGATCAGATTCCGAGACCTTATCTATCTATGTTTAGGGTTACTTTGTTCGCGCTAGATATTTCTTCAAGTACATAGGCTGGAGATTCTTCCGCTCTCATGTGTACAAGTAGTGGCAAACACATTTTGACAAAGCATCAAGGCCGTGATCATTGTTGTTTTAGGGTTGGGACTCAGCTTCATAATACGGACGTTGATCTCGCCAGCTTCCATACAAGCTCAGGGTAACCCGCTAAACAAAACCTGTGTCCGTGATGCCTTCCAATATATCACGGCTTTTATATATGCGCTCACGTCGCCGATATAAGAGTCTTGACAGATCAAATTAACACGAGTTCCCCCATATAAGCAACTTGAATAAAGTTACGTAAAGTAGCCCACTGTATTGTGCAAAAATAGTTGCGATTGAAGCGAGGCTGCTTTGTGGTGTACTTTTAAAAAGCATCTCTATTTCTGGGAAACGCTTATCTGATCCACCAATCTTTGGCGCGCCCCTTCAGAGGGAGGACCCATGGGTCCATTCGGCTACTGTCTTTATGAGTAAACTAGTTTGAAAGTCTGAAGTACTTGAAATTGAATTCCCAAGAAAAGGGGCTTTTAAATGATACTAGAATTACCAGCATTTAATGGTACCCATGGATTTCCATGCTCGCCCAGAGGGGGGGAGGCAGCCTGGCTTGGGGAGAGGGGGAGAGCCAAGCTTTGGTTAGCTTTAAAACCTAAAATACGCTTAGGCATTCTTATCCGATATAATAGAGATAGGAGATCGGTAATCTTAGCCCTAGTTGACTAACTCTAGAAAACGGTAACAGAAAAAGGGCTTAAAAAGGTCGAACTGATTGGAGCTGCTACACCGACGAGCTTACTATGAACGACTTAGAAACTGTGGGCACAGTGGGCGAAATAGAGTGAGCATCTACTCGTATGGTAGTCTGGCTTGCTCGTATGGAGGGGTTTCGCTAGTCTGGTTGGTGTATACGGTACAATAGGAGTTCAGGGTAACGAAGGAAATGAGTTCAACAAAGTGTTCGTACTCGCCCTCACCATCTTACAAGCTACAACTGTCAAATTACAAGAGCAAATAATCTAGTGGATGCCAGAGATGTTACTTACAGGAATCATGTCAACCAAATTGTCCTCACAGCAACATCTCCCGCTCACTGCACCTTGGTCACCTCTCCCTTCTCAAGACACAACTGACCAAGCCCTAGAGCCTCAAAAGATGAGATAAGAGATCTTGAAACATCTATAAGTTTAACCATGACTATCCTGGTTGGGCTGTCCGGGGTAATCTATTCAAGGCCTAGGATGGCACTAGTCTGGCGGGGTGGCACATGAATTGTAATCTGATCGGATACGTAAACAGATTTGCAGCTAATCTAGTGAGTATTACAAGCTTGCTCCAAGTGACATCCTCCTATCCAGCTTTCACGAAAAAGGGCACGGTGGTCTAATGGTATGAAGCCTGCTAGATAAGCCTATACGCTCAGCACATCTGGCGCTACGGGATGAGGTTGGTGATCTGGGTTCGAGTCCCTGCCGTGTCATTATCTTTTTGCCTCTGTGCTGTTTATGAAGGTACATTCATGTACATTGAGACCTAGTCAAGATACTGAAGTCAAGAAACTGAAGTCAAGAAACAGGGATTACTTTTATAATTATACGTTCCCCCTACAATAATGAACTATACCAAGCGATAATCTCATGCCAGCCAAGCGACACTAATTTAAGCATGTACTTAAGTACTTAGTATGGCCGCTGGTCCAGTACTATTTAAGTACTTTGTGACCGCCACATGTACACACAGCCTAAGCACTTGTATTGACCCATGGAAACTAAAAATGCCTTCTTCACCACACCTCATCTTCGCTCTACGAGCGGCTTGTGCCAACCAGACTACTCATCTTCATGAGTATTGTTTTGATTGGCGTAATCAATACCCTACTTCTTAAGCACTCAACCACTCTGTAGCAACTGCTACCCACAAACTCGCATTGAGATTGCGTTTCCTGCGCATTGTCTCTTATAGCCAGACTAACAATAATAACCAGGCTATGCAATTATAGCCTCAAAACTCAACAAAGTATCAGGAATACTATATATGGGGTGCAGATACGGGTGCCAGAAGTTGGAAGGTTTCAGGGTAACTAAGTATAAGCATCCAAGTTAGGATATTAGGGTCCCAGTTAGTCTGGTTGGCACAAGCCCCTCAGTTTTGTTTAACCCCTCCCGCGCCAAGCTCTGGCACAGTGGAGGATCAGATAAAAGCCCAAACGAAAATCTTTATTTCCACCAACAACCGGCAGTGATGTAAAACTGGCAACAGCGACGCCAAGAAATCACTAGGGCGGAGAACAAGACTGCCTCTTCAGAACTAGTCTAAGTACTAGTCTGGTTGCACAACCTCAGAAATCCAGACTACATACCTTCTTCTACTACCTAGAGTGCAAGTTGAGGGTAATTTTATATTATGTAGATTAGATCACGTGCAAATAAGTCTTGGCTTAGCATTCCAATTGTCTGCATCGCAACAAAGTTGCCCCACAAAATCCCTCCACTAACTCCGTGCTTCTGAATCCATGGACCCATTCACACCAGGTTATGGGGAGTTCCAGGGTATTCCAAAACGGACCCTTCCAGATGATACCATCCAATACTCCATTTATATTCTTGCCGGTACACAATCAACCACAAACCTATGTGCAAGGTTAGAAACGGTGAAGAATGCGGCAGAGCAGCTCCTCCAGGAGTGGGGGAAGGACTATATTTGGCAGAGAGAGTGTTTTGCGTTGGGTGTCTCTGAATCTGAAGGTACTTAAATACCCTTTCAGAAGTAGAATGTCAAAAGCTAATTCAAGAACCCCTGCAGGTTTACCATATTTATCTGGGCGAACCGAATTCGGGGATTCTATTGAGGATGAGTGGTTCATTGTTGCTATACTACGAGAATTGAGCCAGCGATTCAATGAGCTTTGGATACGGTCATTATGCCTCTCTGCCTAGCTCGCTCCCCTTCTTCGGTCTGGAACCTGACTCGGGGAAATTTCAGTGTAGTAGACACCGATGGAGAATTCTTGCTCATTGAGGCCGCAAATGCACTCCCTACATGGGTTAAACCTGAGATTATGGACCATAGGGTGTGGATCAACTCGGGACAGCTGCTGTTGGTGGCAGAGCGAAATGCTGCCACCGCGATCACGCTGAAAGAGGCATTGGATATGATACGCTTACCTGATAAGAGTATGATACAACGAGTTCAGCTGGTGGAGGAGGAAGCATTCTATAGGGTGTCGAAATACCCAGTGGCGGCTCGAGATCACGTCCATTTCGCAATTGCCAGGATTCCTCGGAAGGTTGCTCTTGTGTTGGCTGAGCGGCCACAGTACATATCTGCGGCCGTGGAACAGTTCTATTTGCGGGACCCTATAGGTCTGAAGGTACTCGATGTTTTGAACTTCTATTTATGCAATTACTAAACTCTTCAGAAGGCATGCAAAATTATGAAGGTTTTCAATCCTAAAGACAGTGTGAGGGTGTCAATAAGATTCACCAAGGTCCTTTATGCACAACTGCGGAGTCAGGAATTCGATCCTCCAGCAGGATCAAGTTTTGAAATCTCACCTACTGTAGAGGGTGTCAGGCAGAGCAAAGAGTTCATCGAGGCAGATGTTGGAATGAAGGTAGCTTGTGGGTTTGAGATGTTGGTGGACTCGGAAAGCGTCAAGAGTGTTGGTCCCAATACCCCACCATGTTTCATATGAATATCTAACATCCTTCACAGAGCAAGGAGGAAGTAATTGCAGAGGAGATCAGATGTATATTAGGTAGCAAGGAGCCACCAACTGATAAAGTTATTTCCACATGGCCTAGCAGGGCAGATCCGGATGACTGGCTGGAAATTGACTACACAGATTTCGAAGAGAGCCTTCAGGGCAAATCCAGAAAGGAAAAAAAGTCAGCTAGCAGCAAACAGCCATCTGGGTATGGACATAAAGCAGCCGAGGAGAATTTGAAAAAAATGGTGGAACGATTTGAGAAATTTTTGAATGATGACAGTGCCGGTATGGAAGGTGTTGATATGGACGAGGAGATGATGGAGGAAGATGATACCGATGACGAAGATGAGGAAGATGATGAGGAAGAAGACAAGGGCGTCAGCTTTGATGAGGCTGAATTTGAGAAGATGATGCGAGAGATGATGGGCCTCCCACCGGATCAAGAGCTGGGGAATGTTACGAGCAAACAAACGGACTGTGAGGAAGAGGAGATACGGAAGATGATGAATCAGGTCGAAGCAGAGCTGAAAGAAGCTGGGGTTATAGAACGCCTAGAGCAGCCTCGAATCAAAGAGCTAAATAAGGGAAAAGACAGTGATGAAGAAATGACGGATGAGGATGAAGACCGGGAGGTGAATATTGACTTCAACCTGGCAAAGAATCTGCTTGAGAGCTTTAAAAGCCAAGGGGGAATGACTGGCCCCGGTGGGAATCTGCTTGCGAGCATGGGAATTACATTACCGCGGGATGAAGGTGAACAGCATAAAGGGAAAGGAAAGGAACAGGAAAGGTTAAAATGAAAATTCATGTGACCTTTGTTGTTGCGGCTTGTTTGAGCCTCATGGTTATGCAAGAAGCTTGCAATAGTCTTCCAAGTTAATCAACATCTCTACGAGAGGCGATGCCCGCCAGACTAAATCAACATATACCCAGACCGATTTATTTGATGTGGTGCCTGGGCACGAGAACACATATACTTGAGCTTCGTGACAGCATCTTTTAGACTCTCGATTGTAGAGTCGTAGTCTTGGCGTCAATGCTGATTAAACTAGTGCCAAGTCTAGAAGTGGGCTTGTATATGTGGAAGTTAAATTATCACGGAACCCCCACCCTGCCCGTCAATAATCGTCGTCACTCTCAGTTATAATATTTCCCATACGAACGACTTACCTTTTTCTAGTTTTTTGAAGTGCTATCCGTCCCTTATTCTATAACCCCGCATTAAGAGTGGTCCAGCGTAGCATTCCCGGACATGGCTTTCCAACAAACACCCACGATCATTGTCCTGAAGGAAGGTTGGTGAGAATGCGATGCATGGAAGTGGATTTGTGGAAACTAATTGCGGGCTTATTGTAGGGACTGATCAATCCCAGGGGCGAGGACAAATCATCTCGAATATCAACGCTTGCTTAGCTGTACAGAACACCATTAAAACCACCCTTGGTCCATATGGAGGTGATCTCTTATTAGTTGATGCCAATGGCAAGCAGACTATAACCAATGATGGAGCTACTGTGATGAAGGCAAGCTTGTCTCTCTGCATTGATCTCTAGAGGATCCTGTTCTGCTGACACAGAGGTCAACATAGTTGCTAGATATTGTCCACCCTGCTGCACGTATATTGACGGATATTGCGAGGTCACAAGATGCGGAAGTTGGAGATGGAACAACATCTGTGGTTGTTATTGCTGGAGAGATCTTGAAGGAGGCGAAGGCATTTGTGGAGGAGGGTGTCAGCTCACAGATAATTATTAAGGGGCTACGTATGTCAAGCAGGTTGGCGGTGAACAAAATTAAGGAAATTGCTGTTAGGATTAATACGGAGGATAAGAGGGATACGCTACAAAAGCTTGCGGCCACGGCAATGTCTAGCAAGTTGATTAAGCGAAATTCCGAGTTCTTCACCAAGAGTGGGTGCTCTTCAGGCTGTTTTACTTAAAAAATTACACTAACGCTTGCACAGTGGTTGTCGACGCTGTCTACTCACTAGATCAGAATCAGCTCAACGAGAGGCTTATTGGTATAAAGAAAGTCCCAGGTGGTGCCTTACAGGACTCCCTTTTCGTCAACGGTGTTTCATTCAAAAAGACATTCTCATATGCCGGGTTTGAGCAACAACCCAAGTCATTCAAGAACCCTAAGATCATCTGCTTGAACGTCGAGTTGGAGCTCAAGAGCGAAAAGGACAACGCCGAAGTCCGAGTGGAGCAAGTTTCTGAGTATCAGGCCATCGTGGACGCGGAGTGGCAAATAATATTCAATAAGCTTGAGGCCATAACGAAGACTGGTGCGAAGGTTGTTCTCTCTAAGCTCCCTATAGGAGATCTTGCAACACAATTTTTTGCGGACAGGGACATCTTCTGCGCTGGACGAGTAACGAGTGATGATATGGATCGTGTGGTCCTCACCTGTGGAGGAAGTGTACAGTCTACCTGCTCAGATATCAAGCCAGGACATTTGGGAACCTGCGAGCACTTTGAGGAGAAGCAGATTGGTGGTGAGAGGTTCAACTTCTTTGAGGGATGCCCTCAGGCAAAGACATGCACCTTGATTTTGAGGGGTGGTGCGGAGCAGTTCATTGCAGAGGTGGAGAGGTCGCTACATGATGCTATCATGATTGTGAAGAAGGCGATCAAGAACGATTTGATTGTGGCCGGAGGTGGTGCTATCGAGGTTAGTCCCCTTTCTCGGCTACCTGTTGTTTTCTACGGCTTTGCTAATGGGACACTGTTCTGGCCAGATGGAGCTTTCTAAATATCTCCGCGAGTACT